TTTGCTATCAGAGAAACCATCCTCTAGGAGTCCCCCAGCCCAGAGTGAGCCCCCACCTCCTGAGCATGGCTTGAGCTCCAGGCTTATGGAATTAGGGCGCAAAAAGGGAGAGGGGACATGAGTCACAAGGCCAGTGGGTCAAACTCCTGAACAGCGGCTGTAAGCCAGCAGCCCCCTCCCACACCCATCAGGGGACGCGGGAGTGAAGCTCGGGCAAAAGGAGAGGGAGGGGGCTCTCTGACCCACTCCTTCTGGTTGGGGTCCCTGGGATCCCTCTGATGGCAGCAGACGCACCCGCTGAGTCGGGTGATGTGTTTTCTGAGTGTGACACACGTCGGCCAACAGAGGACAGCAAATACATTTTTTATGATCCTTGGAAGCTCAGTCCAGTCACGTTCACGCGTAAAGAGGCGGGGCGGTCAAGAGGGACAAGTCATCTCTCAGTTATGTGGATCCTCTTTGGGCGAGAAGGGACATTTCTGCCATGGTCTGGGGGTCCCGGGGCAAGGGGTGCAGGTGGGGCAGGTTTCAGGAGGTGGCTGAGTGTAGGGGTGGGTCCCCCTTACTGTTGAAACCTTATGTAGTTTACGGAGGGAGAGTAGCTTATGGGGAGGGGGTGGGTGTCAGCACCAGAGGCCAGGTCTTCGCCAGGTGGACAGGGCACCCTCGTGCCCGAACCCCAACTTCCCAAGTATTTCCCAGAGTCCGGGGCTGTGAAAACAGCAACAAAGCCACATTAGAATGGGGGGGGGAGCACAACTTTAGCTTTTGGCCTGAAGCTGGGTTGGTATTTTGGGGGGTCCTTGGGAACCGCATGTCTGTGCAGTTTCAGACTTGAGGCTTCCAGGACACTGGTCATCCCAAAGGAGATGAGGGGCCGCCAAGGGGTGGGGGGCAGGCAAGTGGGCCCGTCTGGGTGCCGCTCCTACTTCTACTGTTTGTTTTGGGGGGCAGGGGGGTTCTGAAAATTGGAGGAAGGGCTAGAAGCGCGTGCTGGCACTGTCACCGGGGTTCCCAACAGCGGGAGGAAGATCTGCGGGCGGGTCTGAATCTTAAGTAGATGTGTCCCCATTCAGGCACCCCCTGCACCCCCAGCTGAGGGTTCCCTGGAGCGCATTTGGAGGAATGGAGACCCAGGCTGGGCTCCCTTCTCCCGGCCACCGGGGTATTGGAAGTGGGGAATGTTCCCCCCTTCCTTGTTCCCCCCCAGTTTGGAGAACCCCAAGCGCTGCCCCCCACAGGTCGAGGCTGACGTCGCCGCCGCCGCCGCCGCATTTCTAGGAATGCCCCTATCCGCTGACTATATTTGGCGAGGGTTTCTAGGAAGGCACCCCCTGGCCCCCGCCCCGGCCCCCACCCCGGGCAGGCGGGCGGGCTCCCTCGGCTCCAGGCGCT